TTTACCTAAATAAGAATTTTTTACTTTTAATCGATGAATTCAGTGGCTTCTTTTGAAAATACTGATTGTGACCACAGTATTGTTGTAACATTGTTGGATTGTAATCAGATGATGGTGATGTTTTAAATCACAATGTCGAAGACGAGTTTATCATCATCTGGGATTATCGGATGCAGTATTGCTGCGATAGATGATGGTACGCGATGATGATGATGGGCTACAAAGAGCCGAAAATATGAAGTTCCAGATTTCATGGCCTTCCTCTCTGTTATTTTAACAATTTTTCATTAGAGAACGTAGGCGATTGTTCATCAGATCGAATAGAGAGGATATCCTCTAGTTTGGTTTGGTTTAAAAAAAAATAGCTGTTAGTATTAAATGCATGCAGAATTTCAGTAGCAAATATAAGGTTTTTCTTAAGAGCAAATATTTGCTTTTCTAATACATTGGCGATGAACATTATCCTATAAAGTAAACTTCTGATGCTTATCTTCGGGGTAAAGATTCATACACAAGAGTGCCTACGGAAGATTAGAGACGGAGAATTATAACCTAACGGTGACCTGACAAGACTTCTTGCGAAGTCCCTGGTTATAACCACGATCTGACACCAATTATTCGCGACGAACAGATTGCCTTTAAATTTCATCAAAAATTAGTGATACTCAGCTCGTCAATGCAGAGAGAAAACAAAAAGAGCTTCACCATACGTTAAGCAAGTAATTTTGAGAAAAGTTTCCGTTTCGTATCTTTGTAAAAGTAGTTGGTTTTTTGTGTCTGAAGAGAAACATCAGTCTAAGTATCTTAGGCTAACGACAATTTAAGTAATAGTTATGTTAAACATTTTATACCATATATATGCCCTGATTTTATTATTACAGTTATTTGTTAACTATTGTTTGTGATACCAAATAAAGTTTAAAAGTTATTTTTAGCCATCTCATATGTTATCATATAATACTTTTTGTTTAAAATTAACTCTCCCAATCGCCTTTTCTGAAGTACGTTTTCCCAACATTTTTTGGAAAAAAAACCATCACTGTGCATTATTTACTGTCAACGTTTGAAAAAGAATTCTATTTTATATGATAAACAGCAGATGAAAGATAGTCGTAGTTCAGGTCTAATTGGCTGTTATAAAAAGCGCTTGCGAAACTCCCCCATGACTGCTATTTCTGAAAATAAAGTAAGAATGTGTGACAAGGATTGCCGGGAATCTCTTTTCTCAAGGCTGGCTTTTTTTCTTTTTTCTTTTTTTTTTTTTTTNTTTCTAGGTTACCAAACCACGGAGTTTGTAAACATTTTAAGTTGTGTTATCTATGTGATTGAGTGTTTCGGTTTTTGAACGAAAGTTTCAACGGATAAGAAGTTTGGGTATTCTTTGTTGACCTTGGCTTGGACCTCCGTGAATTCTGCAGTTTTGATTAAACTTTCTTTTCTCTAGAAGTGTTCCCAAGAATTCGATTGGATATTTGGCATTTTATTTTGGTAGTCTTGTGATGTGTTTAGGCTCGCTCAGCTGGGAAGCGTCAAGAATTCTGCACAAATATGATAAGAACCTGTGAGATATATTCAGAAAGTTCATTCCGGGGGTGCTCCCCAACCCAAAATGAAAACCGTTTACCCCTTTTATAATCAAATTTTGACCAAAAGGGCAATATCTGTATCAATGTATACCTTCCAGAGAAAGCGGTCTCCCTGTTACTTTCTTGAAATAAAAATAATGAATCCCTTTTCTACCCCGAGACATGTTGTAATGACAACGGGAAAAATAGTTTTGTTTAATCGCGGGGCGACTTTAAATCACTTTGCCCTGTGGAAAACAAAATCACGTGACTGACAGTTAAGATTATATAAGACTCCTTTGTTTCCCTTGATAGCGTGAAATCATTGTCCCCTCTTCAGACTCCTGGAGTCGTTTAAACGAATGCCCCAGTTGCTAACTTCTATGCTATACTGTGCAATCGAAAAACACACTTGGGCACACTTTAAAAACCGGAAAAAGAATAGCTAGAAGGGAGGTGTTGGCAACTTGCCCTTCTCATGTGATGTCCCGAACACGACTGAATTAACCTTTTACGTAAGTATGGTGAAGAAGGAACGATAAATCGGCACGCTAGAAATTACGTTTTTCTCTTTTTGTTATATACCAATTTTACCGACAAATTTTAAGTCTCCTATGAATTCAATATAACATTCTTCAGGTTAAGTGATTTTTTTTTTGGTGTTCATAAACTGCGGTTGTAATGTAGATATTGTCTACATATCATTATTCAGTGTGCTCAACAAAAATCTCTCATAAGACCTCTTGAACAATACAAGAATTCTCACGCTAAACAAAAAAACTGAAGTTAAACAAAATTTTAAACAATACTTGTCCGCCATATGAAATAAAAATCTTGAA